CTACATTTTATTTAGATCATATAAATTACTTCTCTCAGAGATCAGAAGGATATGGGAATATGCCTCTAATAAACAGACGAAATGCATTTGGTTCCAGCAAATTGGATTCATACCAGCAAGCCTCATGCACTAGTTGACAAAGACAAAATGATGAAGCTTACCACGCAGCTTGACAAACTAAAATGAACAACTTTTTAAAAGGACAGCTTTTCTGAACTAGTCTTACTAGTAACCAAGAATATTTAGACAGTTCTAATTAATAGTTATTCTGACATATGGCTGATGCATACAATTAATTACAAAATAAAGGAATGCAATGATTACTGTAAGTATTATGGGTAAAAATTCCTAGAATGGATTTGAAACTTTGCTATCTGTGAATGTAACATCACACAACAAAAGATCCATAAACCTTTACAGCAATTTCTGTTTATGTTCTGCTTCTGTCTTTTGCAAAGCTGAAAATAAGGATAGCCTGCAATGTTCTTAATAAGTTTGGCACTGTTTCTGTGAGCAGATAAGCTAACACAGACCTCTCAGCCTTTACAATGGTTCAAATATTTACCAGTGTGTCCACTTTTAAGAATAAGACCTTATGCTTTGCCTCCAGTACACAACTATTAATTAACTTCTCAAAACTGAGAAGGCAGAGCTGACATTTAAAACCTTGTCAGAACTTTAAAACAGCTGAACAAAAAGGTAAGCCTCTTAGCTTATTCTTTTAAGATTTCTCTTTAAAAAAACCAAGTACGACATAGCAGCAAACTAAACATTAGACTATAATTCAAATCAGAACTAAAAATTGGACAGTAAACAGCAACCACTGCGCACAGCAAGATCAAGACAAAATGAAGCATTGCTAAATATAATAATCAAATTTACTTTAATCAAAGTAAAGTTAATTAAAGTGCACTTTAATCAAATTTGCTATACTTGGTGATACTGCTGCACATGCTGAAATCCCACTGAAAAAACACAGGTCAAAGCCTAGGTGGTCTACTGAATTTAAATGGGTGAACACTTTCTTGAAGGAGAAAGCACAGTAATTTAATGGGCTTGTTGATGCCAGACACACGTTACCAGGTCAAAGCAACTGCTTCATGAGAATGGTTAGACCTGTTTCCTGGAGACGTGAGCTGGACAGGGCTGCATGGTAATACTGGTAGTAAAATCACTTTGATACTAAAAAGTCGTTGTCTGTTACATGAGAGGTTTCCACAACTGACCTTAAAATCATACTATCCTCATGTCCTATATGAACAGTTGCTGCTATAGAAACAAAACACATATGGAGTTGTTGGAACTTTAGAGTTCTGTAGATAAGTACACCATTATGTTTCTCAGTGTAGATTAGGCCTCAAATGCTGAATTTTTGGCTGGAATATTTAGGATTTTACTCCCTGACAGTATTAAAGCTTTTTAAAAAGAAGAATCTGGTAAGCTTTGGCAGTTACATTCTTTCTACACTGGTATGCCAAATTTTCAAAACAAAATCTTTGGGTTTTCTAAACATACTGTTATGTAGGAGACACACAAGTTGATATAAGGAGCCATGCTTTTGGCACAGAAATAAAAGGTACATTGGTGCCTTTTCTGCATGTTTGCTCTGTATATTTTTCCTTGCTCTGTCCACAGATATTTTCCACGCCCTTCACAGAGATGTGCCGGGAGGTATATTTCTTTCTTTTTATGAGAAGTTGTAAATACGCTAAAATTCTGAGATTATGACATATGACATAAAAAGTGATTTTTGCTGTTTTTGCCTTTAGGCAAACTAAACTCAAGCCCATCTTTCAGCTGGTGAAAGCTCAAACCTATACACAGAATTTTCTGGCTGTGATCCAACAGGCTTCTTAAAAGACGCAGACTCATGTGCCAAAACAAAGCACGGCTCGGAGTCACGAAAAAGGAGGGACGACACTGAGCAATCCTGCCTGCACAAGCTGTTGGCACTTGCATGTCAAGGGGAGGTGCGACCATTGTTTTTACTCATTAGCCAGCAAGCCCGATATTACGGCATCAGGAGAAACAAATATCTACATCTATCTGTACATATATCTATCTATATAGATACAGATAGATTAGATATAGACATATTTGTGCGTGCGTGTGTGTGTGTGTATATACATTTTCCCCCATACATGGAGAAATATGCTACTTTTTTCCACCCCACAACGTGTTGAACGGACAGAAACGTGTTTAGCGTTGTTTTCCGTTCACTCTCTCTGGCAGGCAGAAAATGCCAGCAAGAGGCAATGGGTGCTGGGCACGGCTCGGGCTACCGGGACATCGGTAGGATGAGTTATCCCGCCGGACGAGCGGCGCAGCTCCCAACAACACTTGGCTGAGTGACACGCCAGAGCTCCGGGCTCGGGGACTGACCGGCCCACCGCCCGGACAGCAGCGGCTGCCCAGCGCCCCGGGGTCCCGCCGGGAATCGCGCCACGGGAAGTTTTCCTGCCCAGCCGGAGCCGGCGCGGCGCCCACAGCCGGCGGGACGGGACCCCGGGCCGGCGCCCCCGGACACCCCCGCCCCCGCGCCCCCGGGCGGCCGCTGTAACAGGTGGGCCGGGGCACGCGCCCCCCCTCCGCCCCCGCTGCCGGGGCGCCGCCTGTCTGGGCGCGCGCCCGGCCCGCGCTGCTGACGTGGCGCCGGCGGCCCCCGCCATGGGGAGCGCGGCCCGCGCCCTCCGCGCTTGCCCTGCCTTCTCCTGCCTTCCTTCTCCTGCCTTCCTTCTCCTGCCTGCCTTCTCCTGCGGCCTCGCAGCCCTCCAGGTGCCCCTCCGGACACGTACCAAAAGAGGAGCCGAAGGACTTGGTACTTTGTGAAGCCAACTCAAACAGTCCCGCGCATGCAGGCTTCTGGTGTGAACGTTAAACGGACTTATCCGGAAAGTTTAAACAACTGTGTTTGAATCTGCCTCTTAGATACAGTGATACTTTAAATTACACAGCTACTTGAAAAGGCCATGGCACTAAACCAAGCTAGTAGGTGAAGCAGCTTTTGAGAACCTCTCCCTTCCCACCTCCGTCTAATGGCCACGATGAAAGCCCTTGAGGAAGTATTCTACCATCTGCAGAGCGTGTGCATTTATGGAGGAAAACCTGCTGGAAACGTACTAGTTGTCACTATTCACTGCATGACTTTTTAAAAAATATCCTTTCTAAATAACACCAGAGACGTAAAATTCTTCTGACACTTCAGTGTCTTCAGAAACAAATTCTTCCAAGGATGACTGTGGCCATCGTTGTCCAATTAATTATGAATGTGGGAGTCATTGTCTCGCAAATGAAGGGTCAAGCAAACTCTCTCAAGCTGTGACCAGATGCAAAAGGCAGGGCCAATGCCCTGATTACACCTCAGCTCTTCTCCTGAATCCTCCTCTTTCCTCCTCTCTCCTTTTGTTTGTCTGCAGTGTGTGAGTCTTTCTGAAGAAGTGATTTTGCTGGGATAACACAGAGGTTCTGGTATGGTTCCTGTCAGTATTGAAATAGTGAGGGTAGACGACTTCAACCTAAAGAGCTGTAAAACTACAGTTTAATTACTTCCAATATCTTTTAATAGTCCATAATTATTTTAGCTGTAGTTAATTTTTTTTAATGTGCTTGTTAGAACCAACAGAACTATTACCATTGTATATTGTTTTAATTCTACTAAAAGCAAAAGAAGCAGGAAGGCAGCTAGAACGTTTCCTTTAAAATCAAAAGCACCAAGAACAACTGCAAAATGAAAGTGGAATGAGAATCAGCATCCTTAGCTGTGATTATCAGGTGAATGAAGCAGAGTGGAAGCACTACAAATAGACTGAGTATTTATCATTCATTGTCTTTGAAAATAATTTTTCTTTATTGTCTTTGTTTTACAAACATATGACCAGTTTCCCAGCCTGCTTTTGGCTGTTGTTTAAGTAACAAAAGGCAGAGAAGCAGAAGTATTCCAGAGTTCCTGGCATGCTGAAAAATATGGTTGAGCTGGGGGAGTGCTGGAGGGAGGAGGCAGCTCCTTATTCGAGACTGTAGGAACAGTGGTTCACGAAATGCAGACTTCACTCAGGCTCACAAGCTGAGCTGTCCCAGTCTGTTATGCCGAGTCTCTGGGAAGCCTCTGGCCAGCCCTGAAATCACAGGCGTTCAGAGTCTGCACGTGACTACCTTTGGCCCTGTGCCGAGTGGTGTTTAGTCAAAGCAGGGAACTGACAACTGTATTTTTCCATTAATAAAATCCTTCTTCTTAACACGTAATATCAAAATAGGGGTGTAATGAATAAGTTGCTGAGGCATAGTATCTTTAATAGAATTACATTGTTCAGTATTGTTATGTTTCTTAAGCAAGCCTTTTATTTTTCATCAAGGAACAGAGCACTTAATTTCACATGTTCTTAATGGTGTAAAACTTTCCAGACCTTGCTCTGGGCCCGCCAGTGACCTTAATGGATCCAGGAATAAACGTCTTCACAAAATGTCATTTCACAAGTGCATTAAAGCTTAAAAGGGGAGAAAATTTGCAGTTGAGACATGTATGTATAGTAGCATTTTACAGTGAAGGTCAAAGATCAAAGGCTGCAGAGAAGGATACGCTCCTCCATAAATCTTGAACCATTTTTTTTTTCCAAAATGCTAAAAAGAAGTGTATCCTAGATGAAAGAGGGCACGTCTACTTTAATGAAACCAATAGATGTTGAACATAAACATCTGTAGATAAATGAATAATATGAAATACACCAGAACTGCAAGCCAGAAGGAATGCTGTTATGCTTACTTCAGTTGTCTAAGAAAGAAATAACTAAGAACAATTTATTCTGAGACCTCTTGCTCTGAGAGAAAATACGTACATACAAAGGAAGAACATTCTGCTGCAAATTTTCATAGGAACACAAATAATTTGGCTTACTTCAAAACTAATAGTCTGATCAGATGCAAATTTAAGACACACCCTCTCTCTGGTCTTACATACCCAAATTTTTGTATCACACAAAATAATTGCAGGCAATACAGGCGGATGTATTTAAAATATTTATTTGAATTTGTGAAATGTGTTTCATAACTTCTGCCACCGCCAGATATAAACGAAGTCCAGGTGTTCAAAATTGTGACTTTTCAAGGTGTATTTCAATACAAAATTGTCATATAGTGCTGGAAGCTTTAAAACAGTGCTGAAGAAGTCTTGCATTGAAAGCCATTGTTGATCTGCTGAAGGCAAGAACCCCAAATTCTTCCTGAGCAAAATCTGATTTCTTACTTTAGTGCCCCTTGAACAATGATGTTTTAAAAAACATTAGCAAGTTCATTTGATGAGACAATAATGAGCTCCAGGATTTTTTGCAATCAGTCTCAGCTGTGTTTTAGTTTTTATTATCTTGTACTCAACGGAAATAGCACTTTTGTATCCATCTCTAGTGTCAGGTAGTTTATTCTATGGTCTGATTTTCTACATAAGGTTTCAGATGTCCCAGAAAGAAGCAACAGAACCAATGCTGTTGTAATTCACTGGAGAACTATTCTTGTAGAGCACAAATAGAAAGAAAAGTATATATTAAGTCAGTGTCATATGTCAATAATCTGGTGTTTGTTTGAGAAATTCACTGGTTTAACTCCTGCCAGCTGCAAGACTGTATTAATGGGAACATGATCCAGCCTGTTTTTATCAAGGTGCAAAAAATGAACTTCATTGCCTGGAATGAGAATAATATGTAAATTATTGAATAACATATTTATTTATTCAAAGATGTAAGTGAATTGAAGCAGCATTCTGACTACCTACCAGTTATCACACAAATGTGTACTAGTTCTGTAGACTGCACAATATTCTGTATTTTAAACAATGACAAAATGTTTTTTAATTATATTAAAGAAGCAAGGAACATTGAGGCACTTAACTAGTTTAAATCTGCTGTAGCCGGATGTTTCCTAATAATGAGATGATTGTCATGTTGCAATTCCCCCTTCATGCTCTATCCCTCTAATAAAACCACATTAAATGTGGTTAAATTAAATTTTATTAAATGTGAGAGCAGCATGTAGGTAAATACCACGATGTCAAGAAAACCCTCCAAACTTCGAGGCAGTTGTTCCTTCGGCAATCCAACCAATTTTTTCAGGGCTCTGATCAGGTTTGTGCCACCTCTGTGGGAGATGGGACTACACAATGACACTCTGCAGATTTCTCCATGGGACAGAAATCACGCAGTTCAACACCAGACTGTCTCCTTGGGACCCACAGGGACAGAAGGCGAAATGGCAGCAAACAGCTGAAGGAGACAGTGGTAACTTTCACACACAAAAAAGCAGCTCACCTGGGCCTATAATCAAAGCTCCTCCCTGCTGAGCAGGGTCTCCTTGAAAATCAAAAGCCGGGCTAGTCATTGCTCTCCATATACTCCTAATGCTTCCCAGAAGAATGTTTGATTTCACATGAGGGCTCCGAACTAAACAAAACCACAAAACACTTGTTATCTAGAAATATGAAAGTATATAAGAGCAACAACAATTAACAGCTGCTATGAATACTTTAGATATTCCTGATTACCAGTATTTTCAGAAAATATAGCCTATGAGAGACAGTCTGGTGGGCAAATAAATTTCTCTTTACATTGCGATCATACTATTTTATCAGAGCATTTTTGTTTTGTTTGTGAAAGTCTAAATAAGGTGAGAAAATTATTCTTACCTGATGCTTTACTACCTTCACCTCTTTTCATCCCAAGTATTTTATAAATTTCCCTTTGCGGATCTACATACATTTCATGTGGATACCCAGTTAAACTGCAAAAGGGCTGCAAAATATAGGCATAGACACAGTGACACAGAAAAATAAAGTAATATTTGTAAGGTTAATGCAGTAACTAGTTAGGGTCTACTAACAACAGCAAAAATACTGACATCCTGCCAGCTCCATGCTCCCCCCTCTTATTTGAAAACGCTGTATTGGTTAGTTATGTCAAAGTGGAAAATTTTTAGCCTCAAAGCTTCTCTTAAAACAAAGCTTCCAGTGAAATCAAGAAAAGATGTTTCCTTAGCAACCCCTGGTGGTTTTTAAACTGCAAGTTTTAATTATTTGCTTTAGTCATGTATTACTATTAGAATTGCCTCATGAATACTATCCTTTTTTATTTTTGCAGAAGACCACCTTTTCATGCAAACCAAATCCCTCAATACAGACCATTAAGATAATAGAGGATACATTGTATTTAATGACTACTTTATTTACCTTGATGTGATGATATGATGACTGTCCAATAATTATAAGCCTCACATTTGATTCCTAGAACAGAACATGGGTATTGAAGCTGTAAAGAGGAACTGGGTGCTCCTACATGACTTCAAAACATTAGCAGAATCTGGTGTGCCGAGTTAGTGATTGCAGTGCACTGACTTAAAATTATTTGACGTTAACATAACTTCCATGTTTGGAGACTGCACTTTTGTGTATCACTCGCAGTTAGTAACTACATTAATTTTTTAAGTGAACCATTATTTTTAAAGATAACTTTTAAATTACAGTTGGGTAAACTTTAAGTTTCCTGTAGCATTTGTAGGATTGTCTTTTCAATTAATTGCAACATGATATGATTTTGGAAACTCAAAATTTCCACTCAATTGCACCTACATCTAAAGAAGAAGCACAAAAATGATGATGCCCAAACATCTGGGATTTACATATATGGACCCATCGATAGATATAACTTGCATTTATATGCACTGCTGTTTTTTGCAGGTGCAGCCTTAGGCCTGAGTCTGTAAAACACAGCCGAAAACTGAAGTTCATTTAAATGTCACTAAAACCAGTTCATAAGTATAAGGTTGTTTTATTATGTATTTGCCTTTCCCATATAGAATAATTTCCCATATAAAATAATTTTGCTTGTTATGAAAAGAAACACCCCTAAAACCAGAACACTTGCACTAAGAAAAGTGTGGACATTTTTGACTCTCTAGATATATTTATTTGAGGAGCCAAATTAAGAAAATGTCCTTTTGAGTAACACTGATCAAACAGTTTAGAAATATTTGTTCTGAGAAGGGAAGCTGACAAAGAAATTGCCCCTTTTTTCCCTCAAATTCCTAGTCCATCTCAGATGAGCTTAGATGTCAATTGTCATCAGCAATGACCTGAGACTCTGGCTATGCTGCTGTTGGGAACAAAGTATGGCAGAATTTCAATCAGCAGTCTAGAAGAGACAGTCTGACCTTCCAGATTTAGCAGGAGATCATTGTCTTCTCTGGCGTCTCCTACCAGCCAAAAAACACAGGTCGATAGCAACCCCTGCCCACTCTATTTCTCTTTTCTGTCACTGTCATTCCTGTTTGTGCAGCTGCTCTGGAGAGCAGGACACACTACTAATGCAGCTTACAAATCACCATAGAAAAAGATACTATTTTTAATCCAGATCAATTTTCTGATCTTGCTCCGTGCACATCAGTCGGCTCTACTAGCATAATGGAAAGAGCAGTAGTTAGCAGTCAGAAGACAGCTGTCCAGGGCACTCCTAATACTGAAAGAAATGCCTGTCAGATGTTGTCTAACTGTTCTGAGCACAACAGTAAAAAGAGCACTAAGCTAACAGGGCAGGGAGAAATAATGCTGTTCTAATAGAGCGTGTAGTGCCATAAATCCTTTCCTGTGTCTCCTAGGCAGATTCATTATTGCTATTGTAGCAATCAATGAAAGCACTTCTGAGTAATTTTTTTTTTATTCCTCGAAGCTTTATGTAAGTGTGTAGCTGGACATAACAGATCTGCTTGATTGCGGCCACAAACACATTAAGAGCAGAGTACTTACTTGTAAAAATGCCTTGGGGACTTTTGCCAGATCTTCTACATACTCCTTACAGGTGTAGCACAAAAAATTCTGCAAGGTACCCAATTGAATGTGTCAGAAACAGATACAACTGCATAAATATGAAGTAGCAGACTTTGGACACACACCACTTCGGAGTTGATCAGGAACAAGGAATGGGAAAGATTCCAGACACCAAATTTGAATTAGGATACTGGTTTAACCCAAGCCTGAGCAAGGACACTGGGCCTCTAGCCTTGCAAATATTTTTATCTCTAGATATTTTAGGAATGTGATAGCTGGCTCGACAGCTGGGAAATCAAGGAACAAGATACTTGCCTCCCTAAACACCCGGCTGAAGAAGTATTTCCTTTCTGGTAAATAGTTTCACTTCACCAAAGCACAGGGGTCTCAGGAGCAGCACGGCTCTCCTTTGTGTTTCTTCCCCTGCGCTCCAGCGCAGCCCGTGCTAAGCCCCCGCACCGCCGCCCTCCCACAGCGCCCCGGGAGCCGGGCTGCGCCCCGCGACGGCCCCTCCTCACCCGCACGAACAGCACGATGGCTTTCTGCTCCGCGTACAGGGCCTGGAAGGGGACGCTCCTGCCCTCCGCGTCCAGCACCAGGCAGCGGGCGGCCTCCCGCAGCTGCTCCTGCTCCGGCCGCCGCCCGCAGCCCCGCGCCCGCCCGACCTGCTGCGTGACCGGGGGCGCCGGCGGCCCGGCCATGGGAGCGCGGAAGGGAAAGGCGGAGCTGGAGCGGAAAGGCGCGGGGCGTTGTGCGACGGCGAGGAAGCGACGGGGCCGGGATGGAGCGGAGCGGCTGGTTCCCGGCCGTGGGAGCGACCTCGGGCAGCCGCGCCGTGGCCCAGGAGGAGCCAGGGGATTCGGATGGAGAGAGCGACGGACCTGCGGCCGAAACAGCTGCGCGTCCGTCAGCCAGAGAAGGGGTGCAGTTTGTGCCCGGGGAACACAGGAGAGTCACCCGGAGCTTCCCAGGAATGGTGTGCAAGCAGGAGCAGTGACATGCCGTACCGCCCTGGAGGTCGGCGTTCTTTTTGCGGGAGGCCGCAGCCCTGTAGAGGGCCGTGAGCGAAATGGAAAACTGTTCTCGAGGAGCTACGGAACTGCTGAATCAGACAAAAACCGCACCAAACACGTGTCCCTGTTCATGCAAAAGCAGAGCTTCACCCTCTCTTGACAGCTGAATAGCAGATGCTCGAATGCACGAAGAAATGAGTGAACAGTTCTTATAATAAGAAAAACACTAGGTCGTTGAAGAGTATTGTAGTATTTTAGAGTGTTCTGTCAGCTGAAAGCTTATGAGAATAAGACTACTTTTCTTAGCGGGTAGAGGAAAGAGAAATATCAGAGAGAATAGGAATGGGGAGATACCCAGAATTTATTCTGCTTTGTGAAACCCTCTGATTATATTAATTCCAAAATTTCTCTTGGCAGACTGTCCCAGGGTCTATATGTTAGAGTGATTCAAACTTACATCCCCTGTGCTTTGGGTTAAGGCACTGCTTTTGTATTACCAGGACTGAGCACATAGAACAGCTTAAGTCTTGCATTTCAATATGTCCTCACAAGGACTTTGATTTAAAAGATGATGAATTCAAATTAGTAAAGATTAGTAAGGAAGTTCAGAAAGTCGTGAAACTTAAAATTCTTCTTGATGCAGTTGGACCCAATGATTTTTAAGGTCTTTTCCAACATAAGTGATTCTATGATTCTGGAAGAATATGGGCAGTTGTTTTCATCAGACTTCCTTGTTTAGTTATCAGTATGCTGTCCAACACATTTCTTCCACTGGCAGTTCATAAACCAAACTGTGCGCTGTGTGCAGCAGCCCTGCAGCTCCCTCAGCAGTACTGATGGGAATGTGCTGCCTACCCTAGACTACTGCAGGACATAGCAAGGCAGAGAACTGACAGCTTTTGACAAGCTTTGGTCTTCCTCTTGAAGTTGAAGTGGATAGGTGATCATGTTGTGCTATGCCTGCAGTAAAACCGGGAAGCATTGGGCAGGACTCAGGGGCACAGCTCAGGACTCGATTATCAGTAGAGCTTAAACCAGGGCCTTTGCCACTTCAGCTGGAAGTCAAAGGAGGCGGTCATATCGCTGTAGGGAATCTCCTGCTGCAGCCTCTGAGAGGGAGCACACATTGGGATGAGACTGCTGATGAAAAGAATTGGGCATTGTGGTGTCACAAGCTCAGAGGACGCTGCCCTGGCTCAGTCTGCACATAGCTGACCTTGTGCATCCAGAGGGCTTGTTCTTTCTTGACTTGAAATGAAACCTCCTGAGGAGCCCAAGAGAGGCACTCTGCCTGTTTGGGAGAGGTGGTAATCATTCCTACTAGGTCAGTGAAGACTGCCTGCAGACTTTGCTTTATGTAATTTGGCCTCCTTAAACTAGCCGAAGAAGCACATCCTTAACAACTGGTTTCAGCAGTATACAAGTGAGGAACAACAACTTTCTTCTGAGGGTATTTGCCAAAGCATTCTCTAGAACCCCTCAAGCAGCATGTTTCTGTCTTTTGGTAGAGAATCTTAAGTGTTGTGAGAATACAAATACAAATTGTTGTCACCCCCACTTTTATTGAGAAAGAACAGAAGCAAAGGCAGTTGTACTCGAACATGTTCTCTGAAAGAGGAAACACTAAAAATTAGCAGTCACGTTTTGAAAGCTGAAACTTAATACCTTTCATTAACACACGCTTAACAAAAGTGTAGATGTAAGTTTTACTTAGTTGGGAAGAAAGAATCCATATCTGCTGGACAGATAGTACTAACTGCCTAAATGTGCAGTTTACTAAAACTATATAATTTTTCAATGTGTGCTGTGAATAGGGAAATTTCCTTTTATTTCCCTTCCTCTCTTTTCTTTATAGCTCACAATTATAGAAATATGGATAATTTAAAAAAACGCATTCATCACAGTGATGTATTTTTCATTGTCCTAAGGAGAATCAATCAGTGCATTTACATTATTAATTTTGATTCAGGATGCAAGTCACTCTCTTCATTGAAGTGCAATTTACAGTTGTAGAGGGAAACTTAGCTAATATTTAATTAATCAAGTGTTGGGTTACTTTGTACTGTGGATAAGAAATTCAAATTCTTACCATTTCAAGAGGCAAATAGTAATTACACAAAGATGGTGGTTAATTTATTTGTTCTGTATTGACTAGTGAAACAAAATACCAGCTGTAATTATGCAACCTTAATTCCTTTGTATACTGCAGCTGCACAAAATATTTGACAAGAGAGTGTGGCCTGTATCAATACCATAAATGCACTGCCTAAAGTATTTGGTGTTTATTTGTAAAGCAACACGTTATTATCAATTTACTACACAATGTACTGTTTATTTAACACAAGGATATTTGTTCTTGTTAATCTAATATTGTTTAGCTAGAGATAACAAGGTTATTACTTATCAGCAAAAATAAATTAGTGTTTACAATTCCAGGGAAAAACGTCATGTTAAACACCAGCTAAGAATCAGTTGCTTTTAAACTGTTGTTGTAATTACAAAGGAGTAAAAATATGTACTGTCCTGTAGATAAGACAGATTGTTCTTTACAAGGATGGTGAGAGAAGTACCCCAGAGAAGTTGTGGACTCCTTGTCTCTGATAGTATTCAAAGCCAAGCTGAATGGATCTTGGAGCAGCCTTGTGCAGAGGAAGGTTCCCTACCCATGGCAGGGGGCAAAACTGGATGATCTTTAAAGTCCCTTCTAACTCTAACTATTTTATGATTCTATGATAAGAGGCTTTTTCCTTTACATCTGCCTTTCATTGTTGCCTTAGTGTCACAATATCCTGGAGGTATGATAGAATAGCATCATGGAGTGATTCTTCCAACCAGCAAGGACAATACCCTTTTCCTGACCCAGAGATGGGGCAACTGAGAGGCATTTTAAAAACTTTTATTCCAATTACTGTCCAGCAAGGACAGTAATTTGCACCTTGAAAGTAATTTTGCAAGAGGTGGGTTCATCTCCAGTTTCACTACCTGCTCTGTGTTCTCATCCTGATGTTATTTCTCATTAGTTTTGCTTCCTGTTTTGTGTTCTGTAGTTGTTTGTTTGTTTGTTGGTTGGTTGGTTGGTTGGTTTTGTGTGTGTGGTTTTTTGTTTGGTTTGGTTTGTACTTTTGTGTATTTGTTTATTGAGGGGAGATTGGCTATTTGATTTTTTTTCCCTGAAGGGGGAGTTATTACCGTTTCAAATCTTGTCTGAGTTTTGCTTCTTGTCTCCATTTAAAAGTTCAAGATTATTTACCAGACTAAAGGACATCGTAAGTCTGGCTTCAGTATCAGAGTATCAGTCTGTGACTAACTGTTGTTTCAGAACACAGATAATGGAAATGTAATTTAAAATCTACTCAAATAGTTCAGGGATTATAATGACATATGGAGAGAAAATACTTTTCCTGTTAAATCTGATATAGTTAGTTTTGTAAAGCAAACCCTACTGAGACAGCAGTAGTACAAATTTTACTACACAACAAAATAACAGTATTTAGTGAAACATGCACATTTTATTTAATATAGCCTCAAGGCACAAAGAGAACTTTTAATGCATTTCCTAAGAACTCTCTGAATTTGATCTATTTCTGCTTTGCTGCTACCTACTCTTTGTGCTGCAAATGAGAAACAGAGATGACCATCTATGAGTCAAGCATGGTAAATTATTGTGAAGATGCTGTTTATTTAAGTGCCACTGGTTTGAATATTTTTTAAAACAACTGAGAGGTAGCAAAATACTATTGAAATAGATGAGACATGGTCAAAAAGTGAATAAAAGATATGCTACAATCCAGACAGGCCAAACAGAATTGTCTTGTATCTTGTTAGCAATAAGACTCTTAGAAAGTAAGTTAATTATCATTAGTGTAAACCAGATAAGAAGATTAAAAAATAAAGAATGTGAAAAAAAGCAGAGGTGATTTCATAGAGTGTCCAGAGAGAATTAAGCCTTACTTAAGACTGGTGTCTTGTAAGGTAAACAGAAACGTATTGAAAACTTTAGATACTATTCCTTTTTTAACTTCTCCCCTTCTTCCCCCAACCCCCCCCAGTTCATTTTTTGCTTATATGGAAAAGCATGTTGTGAGAAGGTTGTAGTTCCCAGCTACTATTTCTATTTTCTATGTTCATAGAGAGTTAGATGCATGCTTAGCAGTAGGTTCAGTTCAAATGGCTCTTTTGTTTATGACAACATTGATATTTAGCTACAGTTAGGAATTTCCTTCTTGAGACCAGTGGAAAGTATAAAATTTTCGCTGGAGGCTAATAGCTTGTGCTAATTATAGCACACTCTTGAAACAGATCTCATTTATTTCTTGGTATATAATTAAGAGTAGCATCACTTTAGCATCAGACATATCTCTTGAGCCTCTTTGCTAGAGGGATCAATTAGAAACCCAGGCCAGTTCTTATAAAGAGGTAGATTTGATTTTTTCACAAGCTTGCCTGACTGTATCCTAAGGACTACAAATCCATGACCCATGTTCACTCTTCTGCCTTTCAAAATGGCTAAAAATTGTTACCTCTCTTAATATTGACTGACTGAGATGATGTATGTGCCAAACGCTGATGAAGTAAGCCACAGTTTTCATTTAGTGGGTACTTTCTTAAGAAACTATTTAAATTAAGAAAAGGAGTGCGAAGATAAAGTGTCTAATGCCCATGTGAACCCTTAATCAGTAGCTTTAGACATTACAGCTTTCCAGCTGGCTCTCCTAGGAGGGCCTTTAAAATCCTCTCCAGTGGAAATAATGTGTTTGGTTTGTTAACAATGAAAGCTTCTACTACAGCTGGTAAAATTCATGCTGGAGCTGAGGTGGAGGGCCTAGCCCTGAAAGCTTTTTCGGTCTGGTGTTCATGTGGATGCTGGTGTGGATCCTGCGTTTTGCACTTTGAGAGATGATCATTGGCTTAAGGCTCAAAAGTACGGCCCCTTCTGAATCTTCAGTGTTTAAACAAGAAAGCTGGTTTTCCTTCCATTGTTTGCACCGTAATTATGTTACATACTTCAACAAAGATGCCAATCTGCTTCAGATTTTTCTTTCTTAATGAAGCTATTTAT